GGGGGGGTCAGCTTTGTTTACTTAAATGTAAGGAAAATAAACTTGCTGAATTAGTTCTATTGAAGGCATCACAAAATTTTCCAATGCAAACCGAAAACAACGCTATGAAAATTACCGTAATTACCCTACTATGCGTAAGAGGAGGATTCTAATTCTACATTCTCTGGAAAACTCAAAGCATGCCTTGCGTTTTCCAAATTGATGGAGAAGCTGTAACTTCACCCTCCAACTCAAGTTTTGGAAAATAAACATCACTTCCTGATGTTCTATCTGAGGTGCTTAAAATTAAAACCATATAATGCTGTTCTTTGCTTTTTTTCGAGCCATGCGTTACACAAACAGATTTCAAAACCCAGCCATGAGGTCTAGTCACCCACGAAGCTGCTTGCTTCTGTTTTAAAGTTGCAAGGGGACAATCCAATGCATGTTCAGGCAGGAAAAATGTTGTGCCATTCAGCATTCCCAGTCAGCTGTGCTGAGACCTCTGGCACTTTTTATTTCATGTATTTCTTTCGGGTGCGTTCGTAGGGTTGCAGCACTTAATCAATGGGATCGTGGCCCAATCCCACGCAACACGAAACTTTTCCGTTTGACGCGTTGCTTTTCAAAGAAGCTTTACGCATCCACGGTTGCGGGGAAAAACTGGTTGACGAGAAGAAAGCCAGGCAAGGATTCTGGATTCTGCGACACTTTCTGCAGCTGTGCAAAGCGGCAACCATCCGTGAAGGAACCACACCACACACCATCTTGGCTGAGCCTGGAGCGCGTTGCGGGCCGTGCGGTTGGGTGGCTGGGCTCCCATTGCGAGTGGCAGAACTTGCTGAACGAGATGCTTCCGATAGGGAGGTGGCAAGTTTTGGCAGAGTGGGATAAGGTGGGGTAGCCAGGAAGGTTCTGGAAGAGCTCATGGCTCGCTGGTGGCCTCCAGGTCACAGGTGCCCCCCTGAGCCTCTAGTCTTGGGGTGCCCAAGGACCTGTGTTTTGGGGGCACTCTTTGGTTGGGAGGGGCAAGGGCAGGGCAGCGGTGTACAGAACGACCTCTGCTGTAGGCACAGGAGAAAGGAAAACAGCACCCATGAAGCTGTGGCTGTGGCACCCACGTTCTGGGAGCTGGACAGCCGGGGTGGTGCTGTGGCTGGCGCTCAGGTGATCCGGGTTCAAGTCCCCACTCAGCCATGGAGCCAGCTGGGTGAACTTGGGCCAGTCACAGACTCTCAGCCCGACCTACCTCACAGGGTGGTTGTTGTGGGGGCAAGATGGAGAGCAGGAGGGAGACAAGGACGTAAGCTGCTTTGAGTTTGTTGTAAGAAAAAAGCAGGATATACATCTAATCAATAAGTAATCTCCAGCTTGTGGTTTCCCCGTGGGCAGCTGCGTGAACAGAGCGCCGGATGTGTTGGACCCCGATCCGATCAGCACCAGGGATCTTCCGATATCCTTGGCCTGATCCTGTGCCGGAGTTCTCTACAAACCAAGAGCCGAAGCTGCCCGGGCAGGAATTAAAGCCATAAAACCAAACAATGTAAAAAGGCCAGGTTTGGCGTGAAGGCTCGTCAAGCTAACAAGCAAACACGAAGATGCCCTGTGTCCAGCTTTCGTTATTCAGCAGCACAGGCAGGAAAACAAGTTTCCTAAGACATATTTGTGTGTTAATGGTCAGATCAATCGTTGATCGATGAACTGATGTGGAGGTACGTGAGACAAAGGCGCACTAGGTCTCTCGTGGGTGCATTAATATTTGAGTGTTTTTAAGTGCTTAGGGAAAAATCTGGTCTTTGGGGAGGCAATTATACAGTGGTTCTGCTTGTACCAGATGCAGAAATGGAGGAAGACGAGGAGATGAAAGAGGCAGGCGCTTTTTGCTCTGTCTCGGCCGCCAGTATGCAATAGCTGTGGTTAGGTGATTTTCCGTATTTTGCTGCCTTTGCAGCTGGGGTCACAGCCACCCGCCTCTTCTTGTTTTCTGGGCTCCGCAGAAGCGCATGCTGGGACCTGTCACTTCATCGTGCCAAGACGCCAGATTGATGGATTCTCTGGTTTAGGCAGCAGTCACGCTCTAGAGATGGATAGAACTAGGCCCTTCGGAGATTTTCCCTTATTCAGCCGATCTCTGCCTGCAAGAAGCTTACAGGTTCCCACACGTTTAAGTTCCTTCTTGGGGCTGCAGGTCGCTGCCCCTTCTCCACAGGCCCACCAGTTGAAAATAAACCCCAGACAAGCTGAAAATTCCCTGTCGTTCATGCCCACAGTTCAAAACAAGTCTCTTGCTATCCTAAACTCTCACCAGAAGACTTCAGCTCAGTGGACTGAACTGTCCATTTGCTGTTTGCAAGTTCCAAACTGGGATTATTTCTCCTGGTCCATACAGGCAGGACCTTAGCTGAGGGTTTGGGAGCTGGCAGCTCAGGTTAGGCAAAGCTGGCCTTCGGCATGCAAAAACCATCAGGTCGCAGGCAGCCCGTGGCTGCACCTTGAGCAGCTCAGACGCTGCAGGACTTCGCACTTCATTTCTGCCCAACAGCCAGTACAGGCCATGAGACAAGCCTTGCTTAGTCCGAGCCGAGCACCCTGGGATGGCCGCTCAGTTTGTGTGCAGGGAAGTGGGTAAATTTTGTTAAGGTGTTGATGGAGGAGAGCGTGGCCTTTTCAGCAGCTGCGTTTGAGTCCTCCTTTCCCAGCCTTGTTGTCCTGTATTTCAAGCGTGAAATGCTGACCGACTGGGGTGTTCGGTCTCCATGGCAGTCCCGGGCAGGCCAGAAGCACTCGGAGGCCTATTCTAGCCCTTGATTGAAAAACCAGCCACAGAAATGCAAATACGGAGTGCGTCTCTCTCCTTGTGTTTCCTTCTGTGGCCCTTTGTGTGTGAGAGGAAGGAAGAGCCAACTTGCCCATTTCTGTATTCAGGCGCAGCCTCCTTTCTCCCTGGCACCCCGTTCACACGTGCTGTAACTCGAGAACGGTCTCTTCCCAGCTTCTTCAGCACGTGGCCCCTCAGTGCCACGCCACGACCCATTTAATGCTGCTTCGGTCACCATTTTGGCTTGCTTTTGGGTGGGGCCTGCGACATGGACGGGGAACCTCTGGAGAGCTGCTGCTGCGTGGCAATGAAATGAAATAACCGCATCATGTTGCCGGGTGAAGCGCTTCTATTCTGCCAGCCAGCCATGTCCCCGTTCGGCATGCCCTTCCGATGCCATCCCATCGGTCCTGTCTCCAGCCCCAGTGGTCACCGTGAAGCATGTGGGCTTCTCCGCCGCTCTTCAGCTCCCCGGGAAAGAGTTTTTGCACTTCTGCAAAAGCCGGGCTGGACCTGGGAAGGGGAGATTCACGCTTGCAAGGTTTAAGTCCCTTGGAACAAAAGCAGGATCAGGCGGTGATGATGAATGGTTATTCCTCTTATTGAAGCGGAAGATGCTGTTCTCCTCATCATCATCGCTATTAATAATAAACAGGTAGTGGCTGCGCATGGATCTCATGGCCTGTCACGTCCGTTGGTGTGGGAGGACAACCTCGGCTTCGGTTCTCCTTCACGGCCCCCCCCTTGGCCGAGGTCTCCTGCACTCCCAGCTGTTCCTTGCATCCCGCCATTGTTCTCGCAAAGCATGCCGCGCCGCCTGCTCTTCTTTCCCACGGTGGAGGGGAGAGGTTCTCTCCCTCTCCCCCCCCCCCGCTCTCCCCGTGCAGGGAAGGGTTTGCTTTGAACTTGACACTGGTCGAGAGCACTGCTTTCGCTTGCTGTGGCCGGGATAACGTTGGACGTGACGTAACGGATGCACAGTTGGCTTGGCCGACTCTCGGGGCAGAAGAACTGCAAGTGAGGAACTCGAGCTCCGCGTGCGTGCGTTCACGTGTGTGTCTGTGCATGTGATATGCTAGAGTAGCGAGCATACTAAAGCAGCGAGCAGAATGGGGAGGCGCATGGAGCGATTCCTCCAACCATCTCTGGAACGGCGTCTGTGGGTGGGCAGAGGCCCCCCAATGAGCAGGGGAGCTACACAGGGAAGGAACTCGAGGGCTTCGCTAGACTGGGAAGCGTCTCGTCTCACCGGACGGGGATCCTTCCAGCCCATCCTCAGGAAACCGGCTGGCACATGGAGGAGGCTGAAGTTCTGGGCCATCTCCAGGTTCACGTTCCAAAGGGGTGGCCAGCTTATTCCGGGCCACGCAGCCCTAGCGTTTTGCACACGTTAGTGCTGGGGACAGGCCCCTGGAGCGCTTCGTGCAAAGGGTTGGGCAAGGGCTGTAGCCCACCCCTCCCATCAGCTCAGGATTCACTTCCCATCACCCTGAGCCACTCTGGAGAGCGCCCTCTCCCAGAAGTTTCTGCCAACTGCAGAGATAATCTTCAGAGGGTCTTCTTTGGGTGATGCCGCCCACTAAGGAGTGACAGGTGGCCAACAGACCCCCCTCTGAGCAGCCCCTAGGGTCTGTGAATGCCAAGGAAAACTGCTGGCCACTTTCGCTGGGCACATCCAGATGCCCAGGTGGAGTTCTGCTTTGGCTTCAGTTGCTCTGCCGCCGCCGCCTCAGCACTTTATTTTTCCATGCTTAATACTGTTTGATTTTCAGATAAGGTTCCATTACATTTATTTATTCAATTCAAGCAGCTTTTGAAGGGGATGCTCATGTTCCAGTGGTGGACAGGCCCCAAATGCCGAAATTTATCTGCAGATTTTAGAATAAAGCTCTCAGTTGCCGAAGTTTGCCTCAGGAAAGTTGCGCACCTTTAGGAACGGGGGGGGGGGGGGGGCCACAAAAACCTGGGAAGCTACCCGATTGTTGGTTGCGGGGCAGGATGTGGGGCGAGGAAAGAGGGTACTGGCCTTCCAGGAGGCCTGGCGTACCGGATGGGGACCGTGGAAGCGTTTCGCACCTTCCTGTCCCCGTAACCGTTACCTGGGTGTTCAGCAGGGCCGTTCTGCAAGGTGGCCACACACCGCTTGGCCCGGGAGCGAGACGCCCGCCTGTCGCTGTTGACCCCGCATGCTTTTCGTTGGCAGATACAAGAGCCTCGTGACGGGGAAGCGAGCCCAGGGCCTCATCGCCGTCCTCTGGATCCTCTCGTTCGGCATCGGCCTGACGCCGCTGATGGGCTGGAACCGCTGGGAGTCGGTGGCCACGAACTGCTCGAACCAGACGGGGCCCGCCCCGCTGCTGCAGCGGGGCCCCGGGGGCTGCGTGGTCGAGTGCCTCTTCGAGAACGTGGTCACCATGAGCTACATGGTGTACTTCAACTTTTTCGGCTGCGTGCTGCTGCCGCTGCTCGCCATGCTGGTCATCTACGTCAAGATCTTCGCGGTGGCCTGCAAGCAGCTGCGGCAGATGGAGCTGCTCGGGAACTCCCGCACGACGCTGCAGAAGGAGGTGAACGCCGCCAAGTCGCTGGCCATCATCGTGGGCTTCTTCGTCCTGTGCTGGCTGCCGCTCCACGTCCTGAACTGCCTCAACCTCTTCCTCCCGAACTTTGCCAAGAGCAAGCCCTCCTGGGTCATGAACATGTCCATCATCCTGTCGCACGCGAACTCGGTCATCAACCCCATCATCTATGCCTACAGGATCCGGGACTTCCGGTACACCTTCCGCAAGATCCTCCGGCGGTACGTCCTCTGCAAGGCCGAGGACTTCCCCAGGTACCCCAAGGGGGCCGGCAGCAGCCGGCACCTGGCCGTGAGCAACATCAGCACCTCGCCGGCCTGCCTCTGAGGACTGCCGCCGCCGCCCCTCACTAGGCCGGGGGGTGGCCGCGGCCGGGGCCTGCTGGGAAATTCTGCGCAGCCGTGGTTCGGCGACACAAATGGCATTGGGGGAGCTGGACAGGCGACTTCGGAGGAACTTTACGATGCTCAGAATGCTGCAGTTCTATGAAATATGATGAAATATATATTTATATATATATATAAAATATTATATATTGTGTGTTTGGGGTTTGGTTTGCCCTTTTTAAAGTATCAGTCCTCATAGAGGAACTCTTCACTCCATGTCCATGCTGTCTGAGCCCTTTGAAGATCAATTTTTGGAAGGGATAGCGTTTTTTTTTTCTTCCAACATCTTTATTTACAAAAGCACATTGTATGCTTGCCTCCTTAACAAGGGCAGGTCTTCCAACAGCGCTGCTTTCTCTCCCATAGTTTTTTTTTTTTTTTTTTTTTGACGGCGGTGGGGGGGGGAATGGGCTGGAGGATGGTCTTTTGTTTTTATGCATTGTTCAAAGGAAGAATCAAGAGGAGGGAAAATGGGAGCTGTGGAATGTGGAGTTTTTTTACCTGTACGCTAACTGCTAGTTTCGAATAATGACATGCTTTCTCTCCCAACCCACATTTTTTTAATTTAAATTTGTCATCAGTTGTTTGATGCTGCTGCTATTCTCAAATGGGAAATCCTTTTAGGTTGGCCAGTTAAAGTTGTGTTTTTTAAAAAAAAACAAGCACCACAAAACACTGGCAAGGAAGGGAAATTGGTGGCCTTTAACCGAATAATGGGTTTTAATTTGGAAAGGAGAGGCGGGTTAAAGCAATTTCTTTCCTTTTCAGATTATTTTTTTTTAATAAAGAAGAGTTGCTGCGGGCAACGTCTGTGTTGTGGCGGATGTGCTTTGCTTTAATTCTTGCCAATGTTCAACCCTTAGTCAGGTTAATTCCAAGAACGAACGTTCTGTGGATGTGGGTGTGCGTCTCTTTCTAACTGGAGCCATGTGCACAGGGCGTAGATACATGCATCAAGAGCATCTCCAGCCAGGGTGTCTGAGTTCTGTACCACGGAAAGCTTGCTTCCTGTCACGGAAGGAACGCCTGTCACGGTTCTGTCTTTCCTTTTTTTGCGTTTTGATCTTGACGGAAGGCCTCGCACACGAGCACCCCGGCCCTCACACCACTTCCCCACACATACACACACCTCATTCCAAAATCGTTTTGGCTTCCAAGCTCGACAGGTTCACATTTTACCCAAGACCCCCCACCCCCATTTTAGCTTCAAAACAGCCCTGCGAGGAGGGTCCGGCTGAGGCGGAGGTAGGAAGCATGTTTCTTCGGATGTCCCTGCTCCCTTCCCTCACCCCTATTTCCCCCCAGCCTCTGAACCTGTGACAGCTTCCAGAAGTTTCTAAAAGCTTGAAATTCCTCTCCTAAGGGTTGCTGACTGGCCAAAAGAGCTTTAAGCCATGACCTGGTGTTATCTTTGCTATTTTGGCCTTTCCCCTTTTGTCGTTAGCCCCCACAAAGATAGGCTGAATTTGAATTTGAGATTTCCCACACTGGCTGAGAAATGTGCTCACTAGGCCGCACAGCCTACACTCCTACCCAACCGCGGCAGTCCTCTGTGCCCTGCTGCTACTGTCTTGACAACGCTATGGCCTAGCCTAGGACCTTGTTTTCATTGAGAAGAAAGCCCAGAATCGGAGGAAGCTGAACCCTAAAGCCACAGCCCCTTCTGCTTCGCTCTTTTCCCCTGTACCCCTACAGAATCCTTGGCAGACATGGGGAAAAGGTTACGGCGCCCAGACTCTGTACGCACAGACCTGGCGCTGCATGTAGCTGCTCTCAAGGGAAGGTTCACACCTGCCTGTTTTAATCCGGGCCGCACACGGCAACACCTACGCCGGCTTCCTCCGTGAATGGCAGCCAAGGAACACTCCCAGCTGAGTAGAAGAGCAAGTTCCTATTGTCCTCTGGAGAGGACGGGACGTACCCTCAGGAGGAGGGAAGAACAATGATCAGCCGTGAACCCGGCTTGGCCCAGGCCGCCTGGGACGCCTTCGCCAGTGCAGCACAGTGTCCACCACGATCTCCATTTCTCCAGGGCCAGCTGTCATCTTCCCTCCTCCATCTCCGGTAGCAAGAGGCGGGTCAGCTGCTCATCTGGGACCGTCAGCTCCTGGCAGGCTCCAACCGCTCGGCTCAGGTAGATGGCAAGGAGGTGTTTGCACTAAAGCAGAGAGAAGAGAACGGGGGGGGGGGGGGGGGGGGGGTTACCAGGCAGGTCTTTCCTTGTGGCTGCTCCCCAGCCCTCACCACTGGACAGGAGAGGCATCAAGCCGGGAAGCTTCTGCATGCAAAACCAGGACCCCCAGTCCTGACGCATGCCCTCTCCCTCTGTGCCCAATCTGCTTTTCTCCCTTGCGAAAGGGAAAGAAAACGGGGGAGGGGGGAAAGGGGGGCTGAGAGACGGACGGAAGCAGAACCCGAACTCTGGCCAGCCCCCTGCATGCCACAGGCTCCCTGCTGCAGACTGCCCCACAGCCCCGACTCCCCCGTCCCGTCCAAACTCACCACCAGGGTCTCGTCTTTCCGCAGGACCGAATACACGAAGGCCGGGCAGGTGCAGAAGTGGCACGAAGCATAGCAGGTGTAGCGTTTACCTGAGCTGCCCGCCACCTGGGGAAAAAGGGAGAGGAAAGGCATCAGGGCCTTTCTTTTTTAGAACCAAGGAAAATAAGATTGGCTGTAGAACAAGGTGCATGCTAAGCCCGTGCCTCATTTTATTTTCATTTACTTTTTTTTATCACACATTTCACTCCCACCAAACTTCAGCAGCCAGTGTGGGGCAGCTGGGCAGAAGAATTGGTCCCAAGTCCCTTGGAAGTTGTGCAAATCTCAACATTATCATTAACCGCCCCTTCCCATATAAGTAGAAACGATAATCCATTTCTTTTTAATTTGAGCTGGTTTAAGCTGTGATTCTATACCAACTTACAGAGAGAAAGTCCTAGAGAATTCAATGGACTTACACAAGGATTGTCCCAAGGATCCTATTTCGGCCACCGTTTAGGAAACCCCAACTTACATCTATGTCTTAAACCGGTCCTTTTACTTCTGCTTGTTGGTTTAAAACTTGGATTTTAAATCACCTTGATTTTTACGATCAGTCATAAAAGTGCAGAAAATGAGAGGAAGGAAGGAGCAAAACAGATGAAAACCCAAAAGGAGGGGATAAAATTTGGAGGTAGCATCAGCATAGGAATGGGAAAATGCAGGTTCAAATTCCAGTGCCAACTCACTGGGAACCAGCTGGGGTCTCTCTCAGCCTAGCCTACCTCGCAGAGTTGTTGTAAGGATAATACGTGGGGTAGAAAGAGATACAATCATGTCACCCTGAGTTCCTGGGAGGGCAGGGAGGATTTTAGATGTGACAACTAAAAATCGAAAACATTCTCCAGTGTTCTGCCCCCATTTTGGCACCGACAGGACAATTTTCCTTTGTTTAGACGTTTTGTGAATACTACAGGAATGGTCGTTTCCCAAAAGGGATATCCCCCTTTGATGGTCAGGGTTTAAGGTCACGAGGTTAAGGTCCTCCTGGCTTGAGTGGTCTTCTGGAAAGCACTTCCAGGCATGCGGGGAGACAGACGCTAACATTTCCTCTGCCCTCCCCTTGATGCCTTCCTCTAAGGAGTTTGAAGGATGGTGTATGTGGAATGTTACCGAAAGGGCACCAGATCTCGGTGCCCTTCATGGGCAGCAACGGAGAGCAGGAGACGCAGCACTGCTTCCTCATCCGGCTGTCCTGGATTGACACAGAGGAGAATGTAATGAAGAGCCCCGGACGTTAGCCAGAGAGTCGGGTCTGGGTGCCAGGGAGCTCGGCAACACCAGGGCATCGGAGCGAGCGCTAGCCCTCGACCGACAGGCGCAGCTGCTCCTGCATCTGTCGCCCGCCCCACCTCAAGACCCCCCGGGAAAGACTTTCAGCTCGCCCCCACAGGAGGAAAATGTTGCGCTGGCGGCCGCCTCCACGGCCGAAGGAGACACACCACCGCTTCCCTGCCCCTGGCCATCCACTGCCCTGCTAACGTCTCAGCCCAGCCCGGAGCTGCAGACCATCTTTCAACCTGCCAGGCTTAATCCACTTAACGCGGGCTCTGGGGGCAAGCTGCCGCCCCCACAAAAAGACATAATAGGTAATTAAGATGAAAGCCCTGGATGGAAAAAAACAAGCAGACAGACAAAGGGAAGCGGTGGTGGAGGAGTCCAGGGAGGCATCAGGAGAGGAGGAGCAGGCAGGCGCTGCAGCCAAGCTGGGTGTGGGGCGGCCAAGGGACAGGCATTCCTGCCTCCAGGCCCTTCGGCAGCTTGGCCCCCGCCCCCCCCCCGCAGGAAGCGCGCTTGCTTGGCGGGGAGGCAAATGGGGCTGCTTGGATGGGGGGCGAGGAGCCTGTTCCATCGCAGATATGTCCAGACATTCTTTTGCCAGCCTCGGGATTCCAGTCTCTCTCCAAGCATTGCTTCCCATGCTCTCCAACCGCTTCCCGTCCAGCTCTCGAGTTCCGCGACATCGCGATCCACACTCCCCCCGCCCACACCAAGAATTGCAGAGCTGAAAGCCGCCTCGGAGGTCTTCCAGTCCAACCCCCGTGCTCAAGGCAGGCTCCGCAAAATTGCACAAGTCAGCAGCAACAGCTGCCGGGAAGAAGGCCCATGCGGCTCCCGCTCACAGGCCTCCAGCCAAGGAGAGCACACTGCCGCTGCCCTATAGCTCCCCGTGGGTTGAGCTGAAGTCTGGCCCCCCGAAATCTTCACCACCATTTCTAAGCCCGGCCCTCAGGATCGAGCGAGAACGTGTGCTTGCCATCTTCTGCATAGCTTTGTAGACCCCTGAAAGCTTGGCTGGGCTTCTCTTCTCTTCGTCAGACGCACCTGGCTCTTGCAACACCTCCTCAGAGGACTTGGGCTTCCAGACTCCTCTACCACCCTGGCCAGTGGTCCTCTATTCTCGTAACCTATCTCTTGGAAACATGGGGTCTGAAACAACAGCCTTGCTCCTGTGCACCGGCACCTTTACCTGCAGCTGCAAGGGGTTCCCCACCTGGCCAGCAGCAGCCTGGAAGCGCTTGCTGAGCCCCCTGTGCCCAGAATGATGGCTGGCGCAGAGACAGTGGAGAGGAAGGCAGCGGAAGTGGGAGAGAGCAAAGGGGAGGCTTCGTCACACGGGGCCGAGCTGAATGGACCTTCTGGGAGACGCAGGGACGGCCCCCAGTTCAAGGAGGGCATCACAAGGAGGCCGGAGAAAATCGCCAGGGAGAAAGCAATCGGCAGCTGCCACTGCGGCTCTCGGAAGCCTGCCGGGGAGCGTGGGTGGGGAGATGCTGCTGCACTCCTGCCCTGCTTGGGGGTTTCTTGCGTGCAGACCGTGTGAGCAGAACGCAGCCCGAGGGGGACGCTTGGCCTGATCTGGCAGGGCTCATGGGCATCAGAGGCCCAGCAGCGGCCAGTGCGGTGTGGGGGTCTGAGCACCCATTCAGCCAGGAACCTCACTGGGTGACTCTGGACCAGGCCCAAAGAGGAACGAGACCGTGCGTGGGCATCTTGCAGGAGGAGAAAAGGAGAGATTGGAGTGCAGTGATGAATATCCCGCTGCCCCGCATCCTATGGATTTCGGCATCCTGATGCTCCTCTCCCTCCTGGGAGGCCCGGTCAGCAGGCAGGGCCAGCCCCTCCCGGCCTGCCCTCTTCCAGATACGCTGGGCTATAACTCCCACGATTAATAATCATTCTCAGCCTGTCAGCCGGTCACTTCAATTCCAGCTAGATCCCAAGCAGGGCTTGGGCCACGATCCAACTGGCCCAAATCTCCTCTATGATCCAGTTAACAGTTGGGCTGCCACATCCAACCAAACCAAATCCAATTACAGCCGGCTGTGAAAGATGGGCAGCAGAGTCAAAAGTGCACCCTGAATCTCCATCTCCGGCCGTGCTCGAAGCTGTCCAAACCGAAGTCTCGGTACTCACGGATTTAGAAGAGAGTTTTGCACAGGTGAACGACACCGACCCGTGTCTTGGCAATGGCACACTCCTGATTTCAAAAGCCTGGGAATAAGTATCCTTGATCCACCGATGCCAGGGAACAGGGTCTGTTTGAGAACTGAGGTCCAACGGATTTGGGCGGCACCAGGGCCGGGAAGGACAGTCAGGGCCTAATCCCGTTTTCCCTTCCTTGACTGGGAAGCAGCTTCTTCGGGGTATTTTGTAAGCTTTGCAAAGCATGCTTTTTAATGACTGCAATTATTCTGATTATTTTCTTAAAAGGAGCCTGGTGAGGACTGCTGCCGTGGAATGCAGCCGCTCTGCCAGGCTGACTCCTTGTGCATTAAGTGGAAGTGCTCCTCTTCTGTAATTCTACCACTTTCTCCGCAGCTTATCAGTCCAGGATCTTGCCTCAGTGGACAGACTTCTAAGAAATCTGTCTGGGGACAACAGCGAGTCGAGTCCGCAAGGGGGGGAGAGGGGATGGAGCAGCCTCCTCCCCGCAGCAGGGGGTCAGATGAGTCACACTGCAGCTTTCAACATCCCCAGCCAGCTCCAGCCCTGCAATCATGGTCTCCCCACCAGGTGCACCCCAGATCCGTGAGTTTGACTGACTCCTCCGCTTCCTTATTTGCCACATTCCTCCCCACCCCCCAGCAAGGAATCCGAGGCGGCTGACGTGGTCCTCAAGCTCTCCATTTTCACCTGCACAACAACCCTGTGGAGTAGCTGAAGCAACAACCCCCGGCGTCCCTGGCTCATTGGCCATGCAGGCCAGGGCTGATGGGATTTGAGATCCGCAACGCCTGGGAGGTACCAGGCGGAAGCAGGCACTGGGAACGGCCCCGCGTGTCCTGGGGGTGTGAGCGGAAGAGGCCCTGCTGTTACTGTGCTGTGTGCTTCGCTGCATTCCTGTTGCACAGGGGGAGGGAGGGACCAACAGAAAGGATTGTGATGCTCCCACGAGCCCAGAAACTTGATTTATTTGTGCTGGCCTCGGTTGGCACAGTGTCCAAAAAGCAGCCGCCCCGGGAAGGAACTGGGCAGGGGTGGGGATGCTTTACCTGGTACACCATCCTCCCACTGGGAGACACGACCCGTGTGACTGCCCGGCGATCCACCAGGTCCAGGGCAGGGACCGCGGAAGCACCGAAGATGAATTTAAGCCTGGGGTGGAAGAAATGGAAAGCAGCTGGTCAGGGATCTGTCAGTGTCTGGACGAAGCCTCTGTGGTAGCACGGGCAATGCCTCTTGACGGGGTGTCTCTCGGCAATGGCGCACCGCAGCGGCCATGTGTCCTACCCAGCAAGGCTGGGGAAGATAGGTACTGCAGTGCAATGCCACTGGAGGACACCGGGAGTGCTTGGGGCAATCTTCCCGAGCCCCGGAGACGCCGGGAAAGGCAAGTGCGACCGCCCTGGGTGCAAAGCCACTCCGCACCGCACAACGACCAAGTCCACTCGCCGCCAGACCGCGCCACTCTGTGCTGTTACATTGTGAGTTGTGCCAGCTCAACAACAGGGTAGGGCTTTGCCGGGTCGGTGGCTGCAGGAGATTAACTTGGCCTGAACCGGTGTGAAAACTGAGTGTTTGCGTTTTCTCCAAACGACCCGGCTTTTGCACGCCCTCTCCCCTCTGAGGATGGGGACTGCCTTGAAGGCCATAACACCACAGTGCCCTTTGGCTACAAGCAATAACATTTGCAACTATCACACTTTCCTCCGGCAGGCACCTCCGCAAGACACAAAGAAGTGTGAAGTGTTTTGCGACAAACTGAAATGTTAAAGAAGAGTGAACAAGCTCTCGCCCCTGTGAGAGTGTTTCTTCTGCACAATATTCGAGAGAGAGCTCTGGGGAGCAGGGAGGAGAAAAAAGGAACGGCGGAAGGGTGCTGGAGGGGGCCAACTGCCTTGAACAGGGGAGAAAGCAGGAAAAAGACCTTCCAATCCGTTCTTCTGATTGTGCGTGTCGCACCTGCACACCAAAGGACTGGAGCCAAAAACGAGAGCCAGAGGAAGCAAAGTAGAGATTACCAGCACGCGCAGAGGAAATGTGGGGGGTGCAGGTATGGATTTTTAAGCAAAAGCCAAAATTCGCAGGTAAGGACAATGGATCCGTTTGCCTAACCCCGCAGCAAGTTATAATATCCTGGAGGAAGACAGAATGGGAACCCTAAATGCTCTCATCTTGCGTACTTTCGTAGCCACCTGTGGCAAGTAATATCCAACAAGTCGCCAAACAAGGAAGCCCGTCGGAAGCTACCAGTCCGGAGGGCCGTATGGTACGGCCAGCATCAGAGGCCTGTGTACACTGGCTGCTGGGGAACATGGGTGGGAGGATGTGGAGACGTTCCTGGCCCGGTTTGTGGGTGACCCACAGAATGGCAGCCCTTCTGTTGTGAAAGGGAAGCTTGTGTTTCCCCTGAAGACACCCATGAACTAGGCTCCATCAGCAAGCGATGCTTGTGGTCCAGGAGCTCTTGCGGAATCATCAGCGAGTCTGAACAGGAGGTTGCTGACGGAGGGGCATTAATCCGCCGATGACACCGCTGCTTTGCGCGGCCGGCGTCAGGAGCAGAGACGTGCTTACGAAGGGGATCTCGGCTCGTGGCGGCTGAACTGGAAGCTTAGCCGTTATTTTCAGAGAGTACATCCTAGAAGGGATCTTGCGCTGAACGCACAAGAGAGGTCACCCGCTAGCCAAGCGCTCCCTCCACATGGTCAACAAACCCACCCTTGTTTTCTGGGGGAGGGGGAGGAGGTTGGGGAGGAGGAAGAGCCTGACAAGAGGCATGAAACTTGGCCCTGGTCGTGCCCGGCTGGCCGCAAGGCTCCGCATTTCAAAACTAGGAGGCGGCTGCTGCAGGGAAAGGGGTGGGTTTAAAAACAGCGCCGGGAAGATGGCTCTCGCCTTCTGGGAAAAGTAGGTCTAATGCCATCGCAGAGTCCAGGCTGAACTCAAGGGGCTTAAAACAGTGCACAGTTCTCCCTAATCTCGACGTCACTGCTGCTGAAGGCAGATGGGCTTGCCAGCAAAGCCAGGATCAGGGAGGCAGTGATGCGACAGCGGAAAGTGGGTAGCTCGTATCCTTGCAGAAGGGACCTTGAGCCAACAGACCCTACAAGGCGGGCCCGGAGAGGAGGGGGCATCTCCCGAGGCCCAGGACAAAGGCGACTGATTTCCAGTCGGAGGATCTGGGCCCCGGCACCATCTCCCTTCTGAAAAGCCCACTCTTAAAGGATCTTTTGTGCTTTTACATCAGCAGGAAGTTGGATGATGACTCGGACGGGAGCAGCTGCTGGGGGAAGTCTGGGTGGTGGACGTGGGAAAGAAAGCAGGCAGCCTCGCAAGCCAAAGACGTGAGGGAGGCCACCCGTAGCTCAGGGCAATGGCGGCCTGTCCTTTGCCCCTCTGATGTTATCGGAAAGCAACTCCAAACAAGAAAGAGAAGCAGGCCCTCTTCGCAGAGCATCTGTGTGGCGTGTGTCCTGGCTGGGGGAAGTCTGTGCCCGGGTCTCCCCTCTGCCCGAGTATTACCGAACCGACCCCATTCCCCGCCTCAGCACGAACTTCCCTCCGCTCCGCCGTTGTTTCTGCGCTCAAAAGCAGTAAAGCAGCAATGTCGCTGTCACGACCGTGAGGACCAAAAATACTTTCATCCCGGCAGATCCACCCAGCTTCACATGTGGGTTGGCGGGGGGCTGCAGTCCAAGACATCCCAAGGGTCCCACGTCAAAGAGGAGGAGGAGGAGTTGGCCCTGTCAGCCAAGTCCTGGTTGAATGCATTTGCCAGACTGGGGGGCATTTCTAGCGATATGAGGATGCAGCCATGGGAAGCTGTCAACGCTCCCGTTTTACAACCGAGTGGGTTTCCCTTCGCATGGTGTCGATGGCGCTCACCACGCCAGGCTCTGCAGGGGGGCTGTCAGCTTGGTCTGGCTGCCACCGGGGCCAAATGCCAAGTCCATCTGGACAGAAGCCTCTTGTGAGAACATCGGCGCAGGGGCAGGCAACTGTTCCTTGCCTTTATTCCAGGGGCCAATAGCCTGTTTCTCATGCCAAATCTCAAAGCTGCTCACAAGATCTGCCGGAAGTAGGAGCCCTGAAAGCAGAACGTGTGCAAACTGCGACAGCGGTGGAGACCTCCAGCGACGCCCGGGAGGCTCTGCCCCCTTCAGAAACAATATTTGGAAATGTCCAGACACTTCTTTTCTGGCCCCTTCCGAGCACTAGCCATGCTTGTTCACTTCCGGCCACAGCCTCTACAAGCCCCCTTTCAACGAGTCACGTTCGTGTTCAGCTGTTTGTGGTGCTGCTCACCGCAGCTGCTCGAACCCCCAAATGTGCCCATGGGTTCAGAAAGGTGGGGCACCCTTCAGCTCACGTGCATCCATTTGTACAAAGAAGCATGCCTCTAAATCAGTGAAAAACGGAGTATCAGCTCAACAGTGGAATCAGGATTTTCTTTTAAAAGGGAAGAAATGGAGCCAGTGGGATATCCTTAGTGGGAGTGGTGGTGCTACCACTGAGAAGTCCCCACGATGAAAGGCGGGTCTAAGAGGTCATAAGGTCTGGCCAAGGAGTCCTAGAGAGGCCCCAAATCATCAGAGCTAGACAGGAGAAAAGGGAGAGGTGGGTGGGCAGAATGGCTCCAGCTCTGCCGATTTGTAGGTATAAAGAAGAATTATGAGGGGATGCTTAGCACCCAAACACAGGGAAATCCCGCTGTAATGCCCCGAAGACTCCAAAAAGCACTTAATGAGTTTTTTTAAAAAAGAAAGAAAGAAAGAAAGAAAGAAAGAAAGAAAGAAAGAAAGAAAGAAAAGAACAAAGCAGATACTCACGCCAGGAGGTGATCGTCGGGGACTGCAAAAGAAGAAAAAACTATGCCAGTCTGAGAATCAGTTCGTTGCCCATGTCCGTGGCTAAGGCAGGATTAAACACTGGGATTAGCTCTGTTGGGCCACAACTCCCAGCAGCCCCCAGTGTGGTTTGCTACAGGTTGGGGTGGAGAACTTTTGTTAAGGTTGGGGGCAGGATTCCACCCCCCCTCTCCACTTCTCATGATATCGGGGAGGCCGGCTGCCCTACGCCAGAAAGCACCTTGGTGCTTTTTCCTTTCTCCCAGCCGTGCCCTGCAGCCAGTGCTCCAAGCGGCAACTCTGGGAAAGTTGTATGCTGCCCTCCCGCACCTCTCAGCGTCCTCCAAAGTTTTAGACTCTTATTTTAATGTTAGGCATGGGTTGCTCAAACCAAGAAAGCGAAGGGACGGGGCGGACCACCAGGGTTGGGTCTGTGTGCATAGGAAGGGGCTGCCTCCTCAGTTTTGGCACGGCAACCAGCAGACTCTCCAGAGACTTGCCATACTGCAGAAGGCAATCGGTAAGTGCGTTTTCCAGGATATTCCGGAGTGTACAGCTCACGGGTTGCCGGAGGTCACGACTCTGCATCTCGCAAAGTCCAGCTGGTAGGCCTTGGAAGTTCCAGTCAAAAAGACGAGAACTAACCCTAGCACAGCGCCTGCCCGTATCTGCTGTTCAGAGGAGGTCAGAGGCAGCAACGGAGGAGGGTTGGACCTGCTTCCCCCGCGCATGTTCTCTACGCCATCAGCTGCACAGGCAAAGTCCGCGAGGTGACCATTTCTGCCTCCTCGTCACAGCGTTAGACCCTGAGGAGGTCGTCCAGTGGGTGGTGGAGGATCCAGGGCAGAGAAGAGAAAGGCTCTTGCTACACCAGGTGGAGTGAAACAAGGGGATTCACTCCCACAGGATGTAGCAACGGCCACCGCTTTGGAGGGCTTTAAGGGGCAGTTAGGCAATCCCATGGGGCGGAAGGCTATCCAAGGTTCCTAGTCCTTGCAGCCACACACTGCCCCCATTACAAAAGAAGAACAGTAGGGGGCCCAAGCAGGAGGGTGCGAGGAAAACGCTCGATGAGACGGACGGTTGGTCTGCACGACTCTTTTTTTTTGTTTTTGATGTCCTTAAGAAAGACACGTCCCAACAAGAACAGTATCTGGGTTCTGGCTCCTAGCCCAAGTGTAAATTTTATTAATAGTCTCTCTCCTTCGACAGGCACCATGGAGGATTAGGAGAACACATAGATGCACACCACGCAGGATTTAGTCTGCGAGGGTTATCAAAATAGCTCCCTAATCCAGCAGGCACAGAAAAATAATTCTTCCATGCCCGTCGTCATAACCAGCCGAGGCAGGGAAAAAACCGGCTCCTCACCCAGCTTGCTTTGAACACCCTGCTGTTGACAATGTTTTGGCACCCTCTGCTGGTCAATGGCGGACAGCTTTTTAAAAAACATTCTTTGCATTTTATTGCAGGCTTCTGCACTGCTGCTGAAAGCAGAGTCCCCCTCTCCCCTCCCCGTGTCCCCACCCAACCTACCATGGGACGTCTCGCCAAAAGCTTTCTCTATCGCTTTCAGCAGTTCTTCGGCGACGGCAGGCAGAGTGGCACCCATGACACGGACGTATGATGGACCTTTCTTCCCCTCTGAAAAACAAACACACACAGAGAGTTGTTATTAAAAGATAATGAAGTGATTTTTGGTTTCCAAAAGAGAGCAAGGGAGAGGGGGAAAAGAGAGAAGGGGCCCTCTGTATTTATCCTCAATAAATCTCATGTTTCATTTATTTTTCATTAAAGGCAAAAGCTCTCCAATATCTTCCATGATGCTTGGAATTTCAACTCCCACAAACATTTATTAAGTATCACCTTCACTTTGTTGCCTCTGTCTAGAATTAGAAGGCTAAACTTTGGGAGGGGGGCAGTCATTCCATTTGGGGGGGGGCAGTCAGTGTGTCAAATGAGGATGACAGATCTATCTTCCTGACATCAGAAAAGCTCAATGAATGTGAGATATGATGGCAATATATCTATGGAGAATCTCATTTTGGGTAACCTCATTTTAGGGATGTTTAACTTTTTAAAATGTCACTTCTTTTTCAAGCACAAGATCCTGAGCAGCTTGAAAACTGAAGTTCAGGTGAATTAAAAAGAAAAACAAGGTGGGATAGAAATCCAACAAACAAACAGTGTTCGTATTAAAATGCACATCAAATGGATTGGTCCTCTGACCTTCTTCATGTTCTTGTAGCCAGCCCTGCCCGCCCCTGCCCTCCAAGATAAAAGCAAAGTTAGCTTCAAGCTCTGGCTAACAGTTAAGGAAACGTTAGCAGAAGTATTTCCACGTTTCAGAATGGACTAGACACGTTTATACCCTGGAGTCAGGCCCCACTTAGACACCTCACTTTAGATTTAAGGATACTTGTTCCTTTCACTTAAAAACACTTCTGCCCTTGTCAACCATTAAATGCACTGACGAAATGCAGACACAGAATATAGACATGGGAAAGGCAGCTTATGTTCCCCTCCTCTGTGGCTGTACCAGTTCTCTGCACAGGCCAAGGGGTGCTTCGGGGAACTCCAACATTTTCTGGACAAATCACATGTCAGTCCCTCTCCTCAAGCCAGGAATAAAAGGCAGTACCTCTTGCCATGGATTTTATATGGCGCTTCTTTTCCCGTTTTAGAGGCTGTCAGCATATAGAGGCTCTAACCTCCTTCGGAGATTGGGAGGGCGCAGCTGCTTCAGTAAAAATACAGTTTTGGCTGTCATTGCCAAAAAGTCTCTTATCTAAGCAGTGTTCTGTGGAAAAGCAGCTTCAGTGTAATTATCCCTGGTGCTCTGAAGGCCTTGGCATGGCTCCAAGAAGCTATCCAGGATTTTGGACACTGGGAAAATTCAGCAAACTACCTTTTGAACCCTAATAGCCACCTTGCCAGTCTTCTGGTAGTGCCCACACAAGCTGGGTTGGGGATAATAGGCACACACTCAGATCTGCCCCCCCCCCACCCCCATGCTGAGTTTAACAGCTCTGGGTCAAAATCCAAACCTGTGCCAATCAGAAATTCTGCATCTCACAGCATATTAGGAGATCAGGCACTTGCTTTGGAACTTCTGTTCTAATGTCATTCCTAGAAATGTAACTTAAAGATCAAGACTAATTTGCATAAACAGATTTCTCAGGATTTAGATGGGTAGCTATCTTTGAAGCTAAGTTTCTGCGATAAGGTAAATATGCTTTAGATGAATGGTATACCTCAGATTGTTTATGTGATACGTAAACAACGTTACGTTGCAACCTTATTCAGAAAATCAATGGGTGATTAACAAAAGTTAAAATTAAACACAAGTTAAATACACACACAACAATAAAATTGAAACAACAAAAGTGTCATTGTAATTGCTATTACTGAGCACAGAAACAATAAAGAAATAAAATGGGAATTATAAAAACAAGTTAGATGGTCAAAATGCTAGGGAAATAAAAAGAATACAGTACCTGGCCTGCAAAAGAATACAAAATAGGCACCAGACACAACCTCTTTACTGAGCTCATTCCAGAACTGGGGTGTCACAACCAAAAAGTTCCTAGATTTACCAGACCACTTTTGAGGCATCAGAATTTCCACCATTAACTAGAGGCAACTTACTCAGCCTGGTCAGTCAACTCAACCCATAATCCGTGCCAATAACTACTTGTCATTGGCAAATAAGCATGACATACCAGGGCTTAACGTAAGACTAGAAGACAGAATTGGCTCATCACTTACTGCTTACCCACTGCTTTGGCATCTTCCCTTATCATCTCTATGGGCCTCAGGCAATGCTTTACTCAGCGAAACCCTTGACTGGACGCCACCGCATCATTCTAGCCAAGGACTGTCCATGTGCCTAATTGCCTGCAGCACGAGGCAGTCAATGTGTCTTTTAAATATATGTTTTGGCAATGTCCAACAGCTGCTTCTTTGGGGAGGAGGCGATTACAAAGAAAAATGCTGCCGTGGAACAGTCCTACATGCCCCACGATGCCCTGATGCACACGTTCTTTTATTTTTTTTACCTGTTCCGAGGAAATTAAGCAATGGACAGCATGAATGGATGCCCCGTCTCCGCCGGACAGCTAAAAGATGCGATACCACAACACTGAAAGGATGAACAGGTGCTTCCTACAGTGAAGCTGATCAAGTACCTTACAAGAGCTTTCAGTATTTGAACTTGTGGCGTACGGTCACCACACCACCTTCGAACAGACTGGTGCCCTGCCTTTGCCAAATCCTGTATGCCATTGCTTATACGTTTGACTATTTAGGTTATTAAGCAGCTAAGGGCAAAATCCTATGCAAGTTTAGGCAGAAAAAGCTCCTGCAACTCCCAGCATTGGAGGATGTTTTTAGAAACATAGAACTGAGCGAGTCTTTATTACTATATTCTCAGGGTCCTCCCAGGCCATCTAGTCTGACCCCCAGCTCCACTCATGACATGCCTACCCTGTGCATGTTTTTTCCCTCCATGTTCACTGGGAATACTGAGAACTGCAAGGCTGGGGCGTTCTGGAAGGTGCAGGGCTTTTTTCTGTCTAAATATGCATAGAAATGTACTCCTAAGCTACCTTTCTCATCCTCCTTGGAAGAGGGGAAAATGCACCTGTTAAATATCTACATAGTAAGTTGCTCTAGAAGGCATAAGTACCAGGACTGAAAATCTACAGTGATGGTAAAATTATATTTTTATTTTATTCATAGGTATGAGTGCCAGCTTTTTTATCACTGGTACTTTTGGAGCAACTCCACCATCTTGCCATCAAGAGGTGGCATTGGTGTGCAGAAGGAGCCACTGGAAACAAAGAAAAGGAGAAAGAAAGGGTGGGAAAGGAAGTGGTGAAATGAGATATATCTGAAGGTAGTTAGCACAGTTTTGTCTGGCCAGTTCTCAAAAAAGCAGAAGACACACACACACACACAGGTCAATTCCCTCCACCCTCCGCCCCCTGAGATTGCGTTTTGATTATTTAAATGCATTAGATGTTTGGCAAGGGGAGAGCTACAGTCCTGGCAGCTGGAACAGCTGGAGATCCTGGGAGCCTGACCTCAAGGGATATTAATATTTGAGAAGGACAGACAGAGGTCTGGCGCGAGGCTCCGTTTTTCTGCTCCTCGTGCGCTAGCTAAACACAGACGTGCTCCAAAGCAGAGACAGAGGTAGATCCCTCAAAACAATCAAATGGGACTGCAGTCCCACCAATGTGAGAACCTGGATATTTGCCCACGCCTGGGATCCAGCAACCATGCCCCCTTCAGCCTATAAGCAAACGCTTTGGGGAGCTTTAGCCTGGATGACCGCTCATTCGTATCAGGTCTGGGAGTTTGGAAGGAAGCTGCTGATATGTAGCTTCTTTGAGATACCATGAGCTAAGGGAATTTAATAATAATATAATAATATTGATTTGTGCGAAGCACATTCATGCAGTACATTTCAATACTGTTTACTGTGTTTTTGTTAAACGATGATTTTATTCATGCATTTACTGTCGCTACCAAACTGCATGAACATAAACTTGGATAAGGGTGCACCCCCAGCCGTATTCAGATGAGAAGCATCCCCACAGCCACAATTCTGTGTGTCTAAACATGCATAGGATTGGGCCTTTATTACTGTATTTCCCCTCCAAACATGTTAATCCTGCATATAGAGAGAGAGATAAATGCGAGTAGATGAAAAGGTGGGCAGGTAACAGTATTCTGTGCGCTTCAGTGTTTAGTCCTGCCGGCCACATGGCCACGGAGACTGTCTGCGGACAAACGCCGGCTCCCTTGGCCAGAAATCAGAGATGAGCAGCACCCCAAGAGTCAGCCATGACTGGACTTAATGTCAAGGGGAAACCTTTACCTTTTTATAGATATATAGAAATAGCACGGCTTATTACATACAACATGCACAAATACGTCAACTACAGTGCATTTAATGCTGTTTCGTGTACTTTTCTTAATATATTGTACAAAATGCATTTGATAGATATAGCGTTGTTTATTACGTTATTTGTTTTTCTTAATGCATTTATTCTTCTGGCAAGTTTGTTGCCGGAAGACACAGTATCTTGAGCGACAGTACGGGACGGGGCTCAGGCCAAGTGGGTGACCCCGGGCCAGTCCCAAACGCTCAGCCCGGCGTACCTCACAGGGTCGTTGTTGTCGGGGGGGGGGTAAGACTGGGAGCAGAAGGATGATGGAAAGAAGAAAGGCAGGAATATCAATCTCTTAAATTAATACATTGTTCTTTTCATAACGTGTTGTATTCGTGCCTTTCGTATCGCGTGGTAGGCATGTCGTGAGCGGAGTCGGCCCTTCGGCCTCGCGCTGTTTCTATATATTTACTGTACATTCTATTAAAATATGTGTGTCTTATTGCTAAACCGCCACAGAACGCTTTATATGAAAAAGAAAAAGGGGGATATAAATCTAATAAACAGGTAAATATGCAGAAAATCAAAATAATATTACCGCTAACTGGAGGCGGCCCACTCGGCGAGGCCCAGGCCGCACCGTTGCCTAGCAATGCGAGCGCGCGCTTTTGCTCCGGCCGGGAAACCAGCCCCAGTCACGTGACGATCGAGAGCGTCTTCCGGGCACAGCCTGCAGGAAACATTAATAAAGCGCTAACAGAGCACGTGAGCTTTACAGCCAATCAGAGAAGACTTCTGCACCTCGCGCGGGAATGATAGCGATAGTATGCTGTTAGGCGACTCCCAGTGACTAAAGTGACAGCTGGATTCTCTAAGCAGGGATAATATTTCCAGGAACTAATTCCTTGCTCTTTCCCCTGCCTCTCCTCCAACCCCAAACGAATTATATTTAAGTGCATTAGCGCGTGGGGGGAGGAAGGAGGCGAGAGAGACAGACTGTCCAAGCTTACCTCGGAAGCTGCCAGTGGTTGTGCCACTCGCAAAAAAAAGTCTATGCTTCGGATCGGAAGCGACGCATCGGAACCTCCCTGCGTCGCCCGCGCGTCACGTGACGGGGCTGTCGCCAAGGTCGCCCGCCTCTTCCCTTTAAAAGGGCCATGTCGCTCTCGCTGCTGCGGCTGCCGGCCCGGAGGAGCCTCGTCGCGGCCGTGGGCCGCGGCCTGAGGCAGGCGAGACCCTGGTCCAGCGGACCCGGCGCCCGCTCTCGGGAAGCGGACTGCCGAGGCGCGGGGGCCGGCGTCGGCGTCGGCGTCATTGCGGGCAGCCTGGGCCTATCAGGTGAAGGGGGCGGGGCTGTTCGCGGGGGGGCGGGGCTTCGCGGCGCGTCGGGGGTGGGAGAGCATGTTGACGGGCAGCCTTCCTCACGTGGATTACTAATTAGATGTATTATTCGACTTTATGGGGTTTCCCATCTAAAAGACACAGCACACGAGGAAAGCGGACCGGGAGGGAGGAGGAAAAAAAAGGGCACTTCCTGACATGCAAAGTTTGTGTGGCTGTGCTTGTCTTGCAGACAAGAAGGGCAAAACTCAAGCTCCCTTCAGTTCTTCCATCTGTGGCTGATGGAGGGTCTTGACCCCCCCCTTGCCGGGATGATGTTCCAGGCAGTGGCACTTGGTTCTCTGGCTAATGGATGGCATCTGGCAGGGTCAGGTTGGCACCTGGTCCTGCGGAGGGTCACGTCCTTGAATGTGGACTTAGCTGCTCAGCAGTGGAAGGAAGGAAAGAATAAGACGTGGTTATCAGCCATTATTATTTTTGTTGTTATTAATAATGCTGAGGGGCCCTTTTGCCCTTAAAGGTGGTCTCAGAATGGTTTTAATGATACATGGCAACTGGAAAACTCGCATGCATATTTAAGTGCAGCAACCGCTGGAAGGCCAAATGTCTCCTGATCTGGTTTTGCCAGCGCAGTGGAAATTTTTGCTCTGTGCCTTTCAAGGTTCCTCTTGGATTGTGGCAGCTAATTTATCCTTTTGCCCCATCCTGAGCTGGTTTTACACATGCTCTCCATCTCTATCTACAGCCTTTTCCCTTTTCTCTCACGACGCTCAGAAAGAGAAAGGGAAAGATGCAGAGGAAGGGGAGAACCAAGTGTCAGAAGAAGAGACCATCATTTTTTTACTGAAAAAGGCCAAGGTGAGACTCTGCAGCGGGTGGGAATTTAATCTCAGTGCCTGCGGGGCAGGGAAAGGATTTTGCAAATTCAAGCTGCCTTCCACCAGGCCTGGCCTTTTGCCCACCTAGCCTGGGAATGTTTACCCTAACTGTGCGTGTGCGCGCGTAAAAGTATGGAATGGTGACCCTTTTAACACACAGCCACCTCTGCAAAGCATCCTCCGGAGTTCCTGACTCATGATGGGCAGTTTGAACTGCCCTGCCGCCTGCATTCCTGTTCTCTTTTAGTTCAACATCATGAAAGGAGAGTTGGAAGAGGCGGACGGGATCCTGCATGAAGCTGCCCAACTCTCTCACCAGGCAAACAACACCAAGGCCATCATCTACACATACGACATGGTGAGTCCAGGCACCCTTTAAAATTATTTAAAATTATTTAAAATTCTGCGCCAAAGTGGCACTGAACCTGGGACTATTCTGAGACATGCTTGCCCTTAAGGGAATTTATCTTCCTGCTCTGCAAAGGCCCTTCTGAATATGCCCGGCTGGCAGAATTATCTGTGGCAGAAGGTGACCAAAGAATCTTGTAGCACTTTAACCCTTCTGGCTTTTAAAAACAAATGACCATGTTTCTAATCCTTGTTTGCCGTACAGTGGAAAGCATGTAGGCAACTCCTGCTGGAATCTCTGAAGTCAAAAGCACAGGGAGAGCGAGATTATCTTTAAGTAGACCGTTTGTTTGGCATGTTGCAGATGGCGAATGTGGCCTTCATGAGGGGAGAGCTGGAGCAGGTGAGTAACGCCAGCTCCCTAATGCATGCAGGGCCGGGACCCGGGTGTGCCTGTGGTGGATCTCCAGAGATCACCCCCGAAACGTCTGGCTTTTCTAATGATTACCCACTTTGCTCTCCTGTTTTAGGCAGAAAAGCTTTTCAAAGTGGCAATGAGCTACCTGCTGGCTGGAGATATGAAGCAGGTAAGGGATCCCGCCCCCCCCGCCCCCCCAATTCGCCCAGAAACTGTCTCTGCCCTGCAGCAGCTGCCTTGGCATTCCTAGAGTTCTCAAGTCTAAGCAGCAAAACACTTCACAGAAAGAAATGACACAAACGCGCATCCTTTCCAGCCTGCATTGCTCTTGTATGCAGAACCGAGCTAGAGCAGGGGGGTTCTCTAGCCCGGAGTAGCAAGGCCGCATCCTGATGGGGGAAGCAACGAGCTACCGGAAAACGAGCGCCATGCTGCTTCCAAAGGCCTCTTGGCCAGGGAACTGCGTGTCGCGAGCCTGTGGCAGGACGCAAGCTTGTTAGCATCCTTCGGCCGTCCTAGCTGGGTCGTGTCCTGCCGGCCTCCCACTCCACTCTTCCCTCTCCTCCCCGTGTCCTCTAGGACGACAACGCCATCATAGAGATGTCGCTCAAGCTAGCCAGCATCTATGCCGCACAGAATCAGTAAGGTTCCTTGCCTCTTTCCCTCTTTTGTCCTCGGGCGCTTCTGGGGTGGGGTGTGGGCGCGTCTGCATCTCCCCCCACTGCATCCGCCTGCTGGCATGCAGGCAGATGTGGGTCTTCTGGGACAAATCAATGCATCTTGGCCATATTTCTCCCCTGCCTTCTTTTCCTGTAAGGAAAACCTGCAACCCTCCTTCATTTTACCTACCTGCACCCTGTGAGGAGGGCCGAAGTGAGAGTCCAGGACTGGCTGAAAGTCACCCACCGAGCTTCACAGGGACTCGAACCCAGATCCCCCATGTCCCAGCCCAATGCCCTGACCACCACACCACCTCTCCATTGCGTGGGGCATGTTTCATGCGACACACAGACTGGCATCCAGCTTAAGCAGTGGAATCCGGACAATGGTCCCAGGCCTGCCTCTCTTCCACCAGCAGGCCTTGCTCTCTTGGGCACGGTTTTGCCAACAGAGAAATTTCCACTCCGAAGAGTAGTGCTTAGGCTGCCTTGTTCCAACGTTGAGGGAGGGGGTTGAGGGGGGTTCACCTCCCCATCTTTGGTTGTGATGAGGCTTCCCTGATTGTGTTGCTGAGCAGGGACCAGCTGGCCCTGGCTGGCTACCAGTTTTGCATCCTGACCCTGGAGGAGAAGCTCAGCAAGGAGGACCTACCTGCCTACGCGTTATCAGGTACAGGAGCCACACAGCAAAACACCTAAACCCCTCGGCACCCACACAGGTCTCTCCGGATGCTTTCTTATTAGGTTTAGATTACAATCCCCATAATTCCCCAGCATTGCCCATGCTGCCTGGAGCCAGTGGGTTCTGTAATCCAAAATACCACATTACTTACCTTTGCTGTGGTTTCCAAAACCACCACCAGTCAAAGCAGGATAAATGGTGGAACTTAATAGCAAAGGATTAGATGGGATACTGCATTTTTTTTAATCCTACCCTTCCTCTTGGAGCCACAAAGGTTGGGCAGATTGTAGATTGGACAGAGATTCTGCAGTAGATCCCCCAAGATGTCCATATCCTGATCAGTGAAAAATAGCTAAAGGCCTTCGTTTCCCCGTTGTGAACTAGACTCCCAAGATTAAGCAAGCCGTAGGGTCAGGGAGAAGCGGGAGCAGATCTGAGTGAGAGGCGCTCCCATTCCAGTCCGGGGATTTTCGAGACCTTGAGTGCCCGGGGTCTGCCCAGCTCCGCCATGGCAAGGAATTCCTCCCAGGGTCCTCTAGCGGGGCCTCGACCACACTCTTCTCTTCGTGTTCCCAGAGGATGAGCCGGCAAACACACGCCTGCTTCTCGGGATGAGCCTTGACTCCTACGCTCGCTATTTGCTGGACCGCAATCAGGCGTCCGCGGCCCAGAGGATGTATGAGCGGGCACTGCAGATCTCCATGGAAGTTCAAGGGGAGACTCACCCCCAGGTCAGGCCTGCAAGGAACCCCCAGGCTTCAGGAGTGTGGGGAGGCAGACAGCACTGTTGGGGGGAGGCTGTTTTTCCCTGCAAGCTGCGCTCAGGTGCCGGCACCAGAGCTTGCGCAGAGAGGCCCTCTTTTGCACACTGAAGGCACCAGCTTTGCTTCCCGGCATCGCCATTTCGAAAAGAGAGCAGATAGCATGGGGGGAGGCGAGCCAGGGCCTTCCAGGTGGCTTGGGTCGCCCTGGGTCTCCAACCCGTGGCCCCACTGGGCAGGGTTCAGAGTGCTTGGCGCCCAGTGCATCCAGAAAGCAACTAGCTGCCTGCCTGCCTGCATTTGGGATGGAAAGACTGGGATTTAAAGAATTCACATGGGCACGGAAGCCGAACGGAGAACAATCTGTCCTGGCACGCAAGCAGATCCACAGACCGGGGTGGGCCCTGCGTCAGACGCTGCTTTCGGTGCGAAGGTGCGGCGGCTCAGTGTTGGCGAGGTGGCTTCCCTTCTCGGCATCCATTTTTAACTCTCCTCCTCCCGGCCCAGAGTGTGGTTCTGATGAACGACCTGGCCACAGCCCTGGATGCGCAGGGGTTCTACGAGGCGGCCGACGCACGCGCGAGGAGAGCACTGGAGCTGGCCCGACAGACCGAGCACCCGGAGCTCCACATCATGTTGAACAACTTAGCCGGGATCCTCATGCATAAGGGTAGGCGAACGGGCGGGGAGGCGTCCGCCGCGTTTGGAAAGGGGAGCTGTAGACACAGGACGAAGTGGGGTCGAGGGACCCCTTTCAGCCCAAGGACCAGATTCCATTTCAGAGACGCGCTCGGGCTGCGTCCCAGCAGTGGGGCCAACACGCAAGAGACCCCACAAAGCTGTTTAGCTTAAAGTTTGTCCTGCCAGCAGCTAAGCACTAGAAGGGGGATTTCAATCTTTTTTTAATGGAGGGAAACGACACAGAAATGGGGAAAGCACCGTGAACAGTGCGTGGCTGGGGCAGGGAGGAGTTCCACCTCGATTTGGCCAGCGGTTCAACGTATCACAGGCACGTTGTGGAAACCGGCATATCCTCTGGCTAAAATGGGATGAATCCACTGAAGATACGAGCCGGTGTATGTTTCCAGTCTAAACTGGGGGGTTCTTGGTGTCTGTCAGTTTCCTGGGCAGCAAGTTGTCCTCATTTTTGGTAAAGTACATGCATTTGTAAACAGCACTCAGATCAAAAGAAAGAACACAGCCCCTTGTTTCTCCCCTCTCTCCACAATACAGAAGAATATTCACAGGCCAAAAAAATGTACACCGAAGCCCTGAAGCAGGCGGAGAAAATCGGTGATAGCGCTTCTGCCCAACACATCCAGAAAGGGCTGGCTGAACTTGCCAAGAGGAAGAAGTCAAAAACAGCCGGCAGTTTGCAGAACGGAGAGGAATCCGGTAACAAGTGAGTCCGACTCAGAGCAGCAGGATACTCGCTGCGAAGGGTGGGAGCCATGCTGAGGGGCATCACTGCCTGTGTGTGGGGACTGTTGGCTTTTGAAGCATCTGGCTGAGCACAAACTGGAGCCGATTACACATTATGTGTGCCAGAAGCAAACCGGGCTAACTCCAAAGACCTCCGTGCTCAAGATAAAAACAAGGCAGTCAAAATCTACACATCCGAACTTGGCACCTAATAAAGCGTAAGAGGTCTGCGGCCAAGGAACCGCGGCCATTTTTCTCCCCCAAGAACATTTCCACACCGTATTTTGAGAGCTGGTGCTTCCAAGGGGACCGTGAGACATGTGGAGGGCACGAGGAGAAAAAGGGCAGGGCAATGGGAAACTCGCTTCTCTGCATGTTCTCCAATTTGTTATCGAAGGAACTGGTTGCAGCGGGTTTATATCTGGGGAGGGACCGTGTCACTCTGAGGCAAAGCATCTCAAGGCAGAGCTGGAAAAGGCCTAGCACCCCCCCCCCCACCCCCAAGCTGCATACATAGTGCTTTTTCAGGAAGGCGGGCAGGATTCTGCCCCAAGATGCTTATGTCCCAGAACCTCCAGCAGTCACCAGGTTAGGAAGGTGGGAGGAAAGAACGCCTAGGAAAGATGCCATGACCTGCATTAGCCTGGGGGTGGGGCAGTGGCTAGGAGTGATGCCTAACCGAAGCGCCAGGTCCCGCCCTGACCCCTCCAGGTGACACACTTCCCCCTGCAAGAAGGGCAGCAGCCCATGGGGTCCTGGAAGAGGTCAAGTCGAATAACCCACTCAAGTTGCGACAACCCCCGATTCAGGCTGGACATCTGGAAAAGCTCCCTCACGGTCAGAGCAATGCGACAGTGGAGCCAGCTGCCGGGAGAGGTGGGAGGCTCTCCCACACTGGAGGCATTCAAAAAAAAACTAAACAGCCTCTGAGTGGGATGGTGTGAAGTGGTGTCCTGCAACAGCAGGGGGCTGGACTAGATGGCCTTCATGGCCCCTTCCAGCTCTGCTCTTCTATGATTCTGAGTCTGGGTGGGTGCCAGGAACTCAGGTTGTGACGCTGCTCCCCTGCAGACAGGACAATCTATTGCCAGGTTATACAGCTGTGCCCAGTCAGCTGCTTCCGGCCTGGTCTAGAGAAGAGGCACAAGCAGAGAGAGCCAGCTGCTCCAGAGGCGAGGCAGGGCAGGGCGGCGAGGAAGAGGAGGAGGAGAAAGGGAGCCGTTACCGGTTTCATTCTCAGGACAACCACAGGTGGGAGAACCAGGCAGTGAGAAGCAAGGCTGATTGCAGAAAGCACCACCGAGTACCGATCGATCCCCTTTTCTTTTATTTGATTGGTCTGGATTGTAGAAGTCACCATCTTACTCGAGACATGGGTGTGAACAGAACAGGAAGGTTTCGTGACACATGGGTGTTGAGTCGCTCCCCCACACCACCCCAAAATTAAGAGGCTGGGGTCCTCTCCATGTGAGAACTGCCGAACAGAATGAGATGAAAAAAATAACATTGATCAGAAATCAAATATACATACATATATATTCAAAAAACCTCAAACCATGAAGTGTTAGTTCGGATACAATGATTGACACCTTCCTGTACACTGTAATAAAAGTTTTCTGAATCTCTTAAAATCTCTCACAAGTTTCCACTTTGGCTCTGGGCGCTGCTGATAATTAGCTTTTTGAAAGAGTTGAGGATCCCCCTGGCCCCCACAGCCTCAATTGTACAATAATAAAAACTGTATCCATTGAGCAATAATAGCTGATGGGGAAAATAGGTCAAATTTGCAAAGACAAGCAGCAAACAAACATTGGTTTCTTGTGTAAATGCTTCACAGGGTTCCTCTGAAGTGGGAGGGGTCTGCCACACGGGCTTGATCCCAAGCAATATGGAGGGATCTCACTAAAACAGAGGCAGCTGCTTGCGGAGGAAGGCCAAATGGCCCTTCTCCAGGGAAGCCGCAGCTTCAGTGTTACACAGGTAGCTTTTACACGACAGGAAAGGCATGTCAGCTGAAAAGTGTTTCTGGATCGTTGTCGAAACAGATGGGATTTCGCTGAAGGCTCAGTGCAGCTGCATGAAGGTTTTTAGCAACTCTGCGCCACCCAAGATGGGAAATGAAGGGCTGCCTCCTTCACAAGGGTGTGAGATGTCCAGAGCTGACGTAGGCTCCAAGCTTTCCTTTCCTTCTGAGCGGCACTGCGCAAATCTGTTGCCGTGCGGATACGACGGATTCCCAAGTCAACTCTGACCCTTTCCCGACATTCACCCCCATCCCTATGGCAAAGCTGGGTGCTTCCTTCTCGGTTTGGACGTGGCACCCACGTGGCACGGCAGTTTAGCGACAGCAAAAAGCTCCTCCCAGAACTGACTGCTTTGGTTTTGCTTTCACCCATAAGTGCAACCTTTCCAGTTTAGATTCACCCATAAGTGCAGTTTTCCTGTTTAGTCCCCAAAGGTCTGATCCAAGATGCCAGCAGAATCCAGTGCTTTTAAGGCGGCTTCTTAGTCCGACATTAAGTACTTATAAAATCTGTAGGTCAGAAGTCGTACCGGAATCCAAACTATATGGTGGGTAGGAAAATAAAATGCAGAAAACAAAGGCTTTTGGTTAGGACATGCAAGTTAGTGCTGTGTCGTTTTAGCTCCGCTGTCGCAAGGAAAGTGGAAGGAAACAGAAACTCTCTAAAGACATACAAGCTTGAAAAACTGAAGGGAAAAGCAAACTGTAGCTTATTTTTTTCTTGCTGGAAAGAAACGTCAGAATGGACCCAGAGCCTTCTCGTTTCGGAACAGAATTTGTGCTGCATACCAAAGAGCAAAATTGGGCTTTCGAGGCAGCAGACAGTGCTGAAGCAAAGGACTTCTGGGGATGCCACGGTGTGTGGAAATGTCCTGATGGAAGAACCATTGAAGCCCCGCACATGTAAGCGAGGAACACCTGGGGCGTGTACTGTGGTGTGAGAGAGAAACGTCACCATTAGGTACCCATGCAATATTATTTTCACAGTGTTGCTGAACAAAACCAACTGTAATGAAAAAATTTACAGCATGGCAGAATCATTAAAAAGATCTTGTTATCCCAGCAGGCCAGAGGCCGTTTAAAATGTACAGAATTCATTACGGGGTCAGTTTTTAAAAATAAAAAAATGCTTTCCACAAGGTCTTCTGACAACCACAGAATAATAATAATAAAAATTAAAAAAAAAAAGAAATGCGTTGAGAATGAGGTGAAAAGGGGCAGTGCCATCCGTGAGAGGCAGCGCTGCTTAGACCAGGGAAGAACGCTTTGTGCAGAGTGATTAAAGTCACACCCCGGCTGGAACATTTCTTGCGTGTGCCGCTATTTCTTTCAACGGGCAACAGATTTTCCCAGCTGGGCTGCAATGTAAAGATTATGAACATTCTATGTGGAGAAAACACTTTAAAAAATTATAAAATGACCCCCAAACATTGAGCAATGATTTGAACGTAAGTACACCAGGTAGCAAAGGGGTTTCGGGAGAGCTGGGAGGAACACAGCCGAAAAAGTTAACTCTATTTACATCAAGAATGATTCTTTTCTTCTTTCCTTTTTTTTTTAAAGAGACATTATATGATGGTTCCTCTTTACAAATGAAGATGTCATTCAGGAATATGTCCTTTCTTTAAAAACAAAACAAAAAAACAACCTCTTTACATATATATTTCCAGGGCACTGTCCTTTTTCTGTGCACCTTGTGTAGAAGGAGCCTTCTGACTGCACCATGCTCCCGAAAAACAAACAGGCTCCAGTAACGTCTTCATTTTGCGCCCCCTTTTCTCTTTGAAAGTCTCTGGGGACATTTAAAACGAACAAACAACCGACCAAACCTGGCAGCAGGCTTCCAAACCCTTGTTCTGTTTGCTGGCTTGCTTGTTGTTTGAAAAGCAGAGGACCTCTCCTCCTCCGGTTCAGTCATCGCTGTCCGAGAGCGTCTCGTACTGTGCCGAGAGGAGGGGGGCCGGCTCGCGCTCCCAGATCCGGCTGGGCTGGTGCGACGCAGCCTGGCTGACGGGCGGCGGGGCGCAGGCCATGGACGTGGGGGGCGTGCCGCTGAGCATGCGCATGGTCAGCGGGTTGTATGGAAACTGTGTTGATCCTGGCGGATTAAGAAACGGGCAACAGTCAGGCGTCTTCCTCCCCTGTTGGTCCTAGATGGGGGCGGGGGGTGCCCTTTTCCCAAGGCCCGGCTACCGATGGGAAGGGCTCGGAGTGCGCCAAGGAGGACGGGGAAATTGGGTATCGGAGGCTCGGGGAAGCCCCAACTGGATCGGCCGGGCTCGACGCGAGCGTGGAAGGAAACCCGTGCATTTTGGGGCTACGTCTTCACAGACGCGCAGCTGGGGAATGGCATTCGCTTCTCTGGGCCTTGAATGTGGATGGTTGTAAAAGGAGCTTTTTTTGGCTCCCTTTCATTTCGAGTCGAACAAAACACCGTGATAAAGGGGGGCTGGGTGAGTTCCCTGGGGAAGGAGGCGAAGCAGGCGCCCAGCCCCGACTGGCTGAATGCCACCTCCGGGGACAAGGGCTGTGTGCCTCTGTGCACCACCTGCTGGGGAACATGGGCGGGGGGTGCCGTTGCGTCCTGCTTGTGGGTTTCCTGGGCAGATCGCTGACCTGGGGGGACCCTGGTCCTCCGGCTCAGCTCCTCTGACGTTCCCAATTTATAGCTGCGCTTGTCTGCCAAACAATGGCAGCCACGATACAGCGATGGCCATAAAAACGGCAACATCCAAGCTTGGGCAACATCCCAATGAAAACAGTGTAAATAAAAATTGGCTGGCACTGGGTAAGAACTGAAATTCGGAGGCACAGGGGCTCCCTTTACTGCAACATGTTGTCGTTGTTTGTTTACATCCAAGCTCCACAGGCTTGGAACGGGAAGAGGCGGTTCAGATTCTCAGCCACCAATCTCACTGCATGCCTTTGGGCCAAACCTCTCTCAACCTGGCCTACCTAACAGGGTCGGTGTGAGGATAAAGGCAGGGGGAGCCATGTACTCCACTCTGAGTCCCTTGGAAGAAAAACGGCACATACGCACGATAAACGAACACTGGGAAAGATCCAGGCACGAGGCCTCGGGATTAGATGACCACGTGAGGTGACCGTGGCAAGCGTTTTGCTAGCCAAGCATCCCCACAAATGCCGTTCTGGGCAGGTCTGCGCATTTCCGCGGTCCTTTTACCTTGGGCTCTCCCATCCCTTTCCGAAAGCATCCGCACGGCACCTCCGACCCGCCCAAAGCTGCTCCTCCTCGCTTCCTCGCTGCACTCACCTGTCGAGGAGGGCCGGTCCTCCCACGACCACACCGGTGTCTGCCTGTGGTAGTCCCCTTCCGAGTGCACCGACGAGACGGACGAGGGCCGCTCCGTCCCCAGGTAACCTTGCCCAGGGATGGGCGATCTGGACTTCCTGCAGCTCGACTTGCCCATCAGTTTCTGCTTCGCGACACCCCCACCTGGGAAAGGGAGAAAGGAGCTGAGGCTGCGTTCAAGGGCACCGTGGGGCAGACTTTGCCTCGATCTGGGGCCCGTCCCCGGCACCTTCTGACCCCTGCTCCGAATCGCTGCACAAAGAGAGTCCCCGGGGCTTTGTGAGCAGGGGAAGGGAGGCAAATTGTAAGACCAGGGCTGACACCGGCCTGCAGGTAACATTCCTAAAGCCGAACCCACAAGGTTTTCCTGAATCAAACTATCTTTGTGAAACCCACCAAGCTTATCCAGGTATTCCCTGGGACCTGAGCATATTTACTCTCCTGCAGGTCTGACCAAATTTGTGCCTCTCCATCTTATTTATGTAAAGTTTTTATATGCCGTCCCAATACTTAAAGTCTCTGGACGGCTTACAAAAAGCAACCCAAATCTTGTGGGTTCCACCATACACAAATGGCCACCAGTTCTGCTGTGGTTCTTAAGGGCTGGCATTCTCCCCACAAGATTTCATGACTGGCAGTCGAGCCTTTAAAGCAAGCCAGGCCCTGCCCAGCAATGGACGTTCGCCCCACAACCGTGAGAGTTTCTGCAAAACTGAATTCAACCCCTGGACTGAAGGACGTCCCAGAAGTTTAGAACTTGGAGGGACATCGGAACGGGACGGCCGGGCTTGCCACAGGCTGATTCGAGAGCTGGCAAAAGGGTGAGGCGCTATCCACCCGGGCTAATGAGAAAATTGGATGTTGTGCTTTTTGAGCTAATTTGAGAGCCACAAAGATGCAGTGATTCATAAAATGGGACTGGGGCTCAGGCAGTCCGGGTTCCAGTCCCTGCTCAGCCATGGAGTCCACTGGTGACTTTGGGTCAGGCACAGACTCCCTGCCCAGCCTCCCTCGCAGGGTTGTTGTTGTGGGGATAAAAGTGAGAGCAGGAGGAGGAGAGTGATGTAAGCTGCTTTGAGTTCTTCCCAAGGAAAAAGGCAGGGCAGAAGTCACATAAACAGGAGGAACTCTTCTTCCCTCCCCTGCACCCCCCGCCCCTCCAGTGCCAGCGTGTGTGCTGGAGAAATGGAAGACGAGCGCCTGCTCTAAAGCGCCTGCTTTGAGAGGATCTGTGCCAGGATGGGGCCACGCTGGGTGCGGAAGGCACTGACTGCCCTGGGCCGACACGCCCCGCTCTCCCTGACGGACCCCCTGCAGTCGGTGTGCAACCGTTTTAAGAAGTGTGTGAGTTTGAAACACAAAACTTGCATGAACAACAGCCCCCAGAGCGCCGCACGGCTCCTCACCCGGACTGGGGGACGGGGTTGCTTCTTCCCGCCGGGCTTCGCCGGTGGCCGCCAGCGCAGCGTTGGGCCCGCCGGGCACCAGCCCCACCGGCTGGCCCATGACAAGGCCGTGCTCCTCCCCCTTGTCGTCAAAGCTGCCCATCAGGGCTTTGCGGATGATGTCTTCCAGGCCCAGGTTGCTGGCAGGGTCTGCAAAGGAATGTCCCCGGGCACTGACCGCACCTGGGAAGGGGGAGGAAGACCCGAGGGGCACCCCAGTGAGGATGGTCGAGATGGCCGGGGGGAAAGGGCAGGTGGGTTTTTTAAAAAATGAGAGAGAGAGAGAGAAACAACAGGTGAGAACAGCTGACGCAAAGCTTCAAGAATGTGAACCAGAAAACTGGAACAGCAGGAAGAAGTTTACAGCGGGGCTTAAGTCATTAAGCAGGACTGGCTGCACCACAGGCAGTAAGAGGTTTGTGACATGCACAGCAGGCGAGGGTGCCGTCTATTTAAAAAAGGGGAAAGGACGGAAGCAAAGGGGTTGGACGCAACGCTGCGTGCCAGTCTGACAGGTGCGATTCATGGAATCCTCCAACCGAGGCCCGGGCTCTCGAAGGCTTCAGGGAAGCCTTCGCTGTGCTTATGATTTCTTACTGGGCCACCGATGGAACCGGCAGCTGAAACGGACTCCCGGTGCATCTGTCGCCACGGGGATCTGGGAAGCCCGTTCGAAAGCAAAGCAGCGCTGGGACCCCTCGGCAGGGCCCGTCACCAAGAGCGGGCTTCTTCAAGGAAGGCAGCGCAACCTGGAAGTCCCTCCCAAGAGCAGCTCGGCGACAGCGAAAATTATATGGTTTGGCCTCGCATTTTGTTTTCCAGAATTGTGCTGCTCGTTTCTTAAAAGGATGTCCTAGCTCAGCTTCTTTCACCTCGATGTCAGGATTGGGTAGGATTGTATTGTGCTTCACTTGAAGGGCCTCAGGGTTAGGGTCCAGTCTCTTCCCAAAGCACGGTGCCAAGAGCTTCCTTGGGGCACGAGACCCTCGCTGTTCTCAGAGTTTCAGATGTGTGGCATCAAAGTGTTTCTCAGGTGTGGAGCTTACCAGGGATCTGGCCCAGTCACCTTGCACAGCTTATCCTCCACAGCCCTCATGACGGGGATAATCATGGGAGCCCCTCCTATATATACCGGGGGAGGGGGGTGGGAGGGTTCCTGCCTGATTGGGTTTGGCTAGGAAAATCTTCCAAACATGCGATGCACAAAGATCCCGAAGAGGAGCTGCTGTTTCTAGTCCTCAGTGCCTCTCACTTTATCTCGCTTCAGGTCCCCCCCCCCCGCCCACATGCACCGTGTACCCTATTTCAAGCTTTCAAGAAAGATGTCTTTGAACTTCCCAATTTCATCATCCCTGCAGAGTCGAGTCCCCTCCTTCCCCAGGGAAGCACGAGGCTTTTAGCAAGGAAATGAGATGATCCGTTACCCAGAAGCACTCCGTGGTTTCGGGAACGCTCACCTGAAGTCGTGACAGCAGGCAAGTTGAATATTTCTGTCCCTGGCTGAGCAGCAGCTGTTGAGAGAGACAAACAAAGGGACCCCCACTGCAATTAGTCTTCAGGAATCAGCCCCGTTTAAAGAAAGAAGCACAGTTAGCCGAATGAGATTCTTTCTTTCTAAGTCACGCAGACACGGTGGGGAATGGGGAATGCAGCAAAACATATATGCTCACCCACGCCAAAACATCTCTCCGCATGATCCGTCATTTTGTGGAGAACAGTGCTATTTATCTGGGCTTTGATCAGCACTTGGGAAGCAGACAAAGCTCTCGATCACGACGCAGTTTCTATAAAAATGCCCGCACGGTCCCCGCTGCATCCCCCTCTCTCTCCTAACTAGCCCTGAACTTCCAGGGTTCTGTGCACTGAAGACGATCATGGAAGGACAAGTCACGGCCACGCCTGTTTTGCCCCAGCAGCTGCCTGAGCTGTAGTTTCCTCACTTTTCAAGGACGTATGCCCTTTCCCGCCACTGCTGGAGGTCTGAAATTCGGCTTCACCACTGGCAGGTTTAGGCGACAGCTTGGGGCCTTGCCCTGTGTTGCCTGAGGCGATGCTCGCGCGGGCCTGGGAGCTTCTGAGGTGGGCCCTGGAGTGCTACAGAACGCAGAAATGCCAGAGGCAGCTGCCCTTCCTGGGGCAAACACTGGAGGGCGTATTCTAGTTAATAAAAACCATGCATTTCTTTTGGCACACGGACAGCTCTCTAAAGGAGGGTTGGTGAGGCACAGTTGCTGGAGCACAGGGCTTGGGAGAGCTGGATTCGAGTCCCCGCTTGGCCATGAAGTCACTGGGTGACTTTGGGCCAGGCACAGCCTCCCAGCTTAACCCACCTCCCAGGGTTGTTGTTCTGAGGACAAAACAGAGAGGAGGAGGAGGAGGAGGTTCACATGAGCCACCTTTCTTGGAGGAAAAGTGGAATATAAATTTAAAAAGCAAGTAAGTCAATAATACTCATCCTGCCAGTAACGTGGCCTCTAGAGAGACGTTTCTGCCTGTCAAAATAGGGGGGGAAACTACAAAAGCTGGAAGAGGACCAGAAATCAGTGGTTGGGGGAAAGAGGCATGGCCATCGCACCCCTGGATTAACATATTCCCTCAGAGCACGCCCGCTCCCCATCTGTGGCTTAATTCGCTAAACCGAGAAAGAGGGGGAAATAATACAACAAGCAAAAGGTAAAACCCTCTTACCCATGTCAGAGTCGCCTCCGCCCGAGGAGTTCAGCTTACGAAAGATCTCCTGCTTCTTGGACTTCACCATGGGCGAGGTATTCTCGAGCTTGGTGAAGAAGGAGGGCAGGTAGCTCATGCTTCCCGGGGACCGGGAATCCGTCCTGCCAAGACCCAAGCAAGTGCCAGGGGAGAATTACAAGGTGCATGCCCAAGCGGGAGAGAAAGCAGGCACGTGCCCACCACCCCCTGCTTGGGTTTCAAAAGAATATGCAAGGCACAAGCGTGAACGCTAAAATTGCATATATTAAACAGCCTTTTTGGCAAAGGCAGTCAATGAATAGTTTAGAAACTGTGTTGTCCTGACCCACAGCCCTGAGCATGTCGAGTTTGGCTTCCGCAAGCAAGCAAGGGAAGGTCAACCGACCACTCCAAATTTGGGGAAGGGTCTTTTTTGTTCCCTTAAGGTAAAACTTTGAACTTTCTCAAGACCTCTTCCCAGGTCTCGGCCGCTGCCTCCCAGGGCCATGGATGGTGGATTCACTCCAGGTGTCAGTCTGGATTTTAAAGGCTGACCCTCCACAGTGTACCTCTGTTCTGAAGGCTCAGATCTTTGGGAAAGCAGCAAGAGGGCGTCTTGCTTCTCGTGCGTGGCCGGGGCTTGGGGAGGAGAGATCGGCTCGTATGACTCGGCGGAGACATGGCTTCTTTCGGGAGACTTCCCAAGCCTAGAGGGGACGGCAGAATTGAGAACGTGGAGCAAAGGGCAGCAGGCTTCAGATAGGAATGCATGGACTTCACCCACCCCGTCGGGGTTCTGAATGAATCTGCAGAGCGGGGAGATCTGCTTAAATGATCGGAGGAGGAAGGATTGTGGATTGCTTTCCTTAGAGGTACCACCTTCGCTGCTTTCCCGGGAGAAAAAAAAGAGCCTGCCAGATCAGGCCAAAGACCTCTTTGGTTCGGCATTCTGTGTGCCCAACAACCGACTGGATGCCCAAATGGGAAGCTCACGAGCAAGATGTGAGTGGCCGTGTTCTCCAACAGCTGGCAGGCCTGAGCACCCTAAACCGCATGCCTCTGACGAGCCCCCTTTAAGACAAGAGCTGGCGTGGTGTGTTGGTTAAGAGCACGGGGCTGGGACTCCGGCGACCTGGGTTCTAGCCCCTGCTCAGCCATGGAGACAACTGGGAGACACTGGGCTAGGCAGACTCATCCCAACCTGCCTCACAAGACTGTCATTGGGGGGATAAAATTGAGAGCACGAGGAGACTTATATAAGCTGCTTTGAATTCATTGGGGGGGGAAGAGGATACAAATCTAATAAATAATAAAACCCATGACTGTGCTGGCTGGGAATGATGGGAGCTGCAGTGCAACTGGTTTCAGCAGCATTTGGTGAGGAAAAGTCAACGGAGAGGGAAAACCCCTCTGGATGCTCCCCAGGGAATCAGCCCGGCCCCGGCTGGCGAGGAACTCAGAAGCGTTACCTTCCCCTGCTTTTGTCCGAGAGGTTTTCAGGGGACACGCGGGAGCTGGGGCGCTGGTGGGGGGCAGACTGCACCTCGGGGCTGTAGCGGTTGGAAGCCTTTGCCCGGGTCACCGCCGCGATGGAAGCGGGCGCAGAGTTCTGGAATGTGCTGATGGGGGTCTGAAGGGGGGCCTGCGCGGATGCTTGGCTGCGGGCGAAGTCCTGAGTGATGATTTGCTGGAGAGGAGAGGAGAGGAGAGGAGAGGAGAGGAGAGGAGAGGA